CATTTTTTAATGCAGAGTAATACTCCATTGTGTATAAATGCCACATTTTTTTAATCCATTCATCTATTGAAGGGCATCTGGGTTGGTTCCAAAGTCTTGCTATTGTGAATTGAGCTGCTATGAACATCGATGTAGCAGTGTCCCTGTAGCATGCTCTTTTTAGGTCTTTAGGGAATAGACCAAGAAGGGGAATAGCTGGGTCAAATTGTGGCTCCATTCCCAGCTTTCCAAGAAATCTCCATACTGCTTTCCAAATTGGCTGCACCAATTTGCAGTCCCACCAGCAATGTACAAGTGTACCCTTTTCCCCACATCCTCGCCAGCACTTGTTGTTGTTTGACTTCATGATGGCTGCCAATCTTACTGGAGTGAGATGGTATCTTAGGGTGGTTTTGATTTGCATTTCTCTGACTGCTAGAGATGGTGAGCATTTTTTCATGTACTTGTTGATTGATTGTATGTCCTCCTCTGAGAAGTGTCTGTTCAGGTCCTTGGCCCATTTGTTGATTGGGTTGTTAGTTATCTTATTGTCTAATTTTTGGAGTTCTTTGTATACTCTGGATATTAGGGCTCTACATCATCAAAATGGCGATATTACCAAAAGTTCTCTATAGGTTTAATGCAATGCCAATCAAAATCCCAAAGGCATTTCTTGTAGAAATAGAGAAAGCAATCATGAAATTCATATGGAAAAATAAAAGACCTAGAATAGCAAAAACAATGCTAAGCAGGAAGTGTGAATCAGGCGGTATAGCGATACCAGACTTCAAACTATACTACAGAGCAATAGTAACAAAAACAGCATGGTACTGGTACCAAAACAGGCGGGTGGACCAATGGTACAGAATAGAGGACACAGAAACCAATCCACAAAACTACAACTATCTTATATTTGATAAAGGGGCTAAAAGCATGCAATGGAGGAAGGATAGCATCTTCAACAAATGGTGCTGGGAAAACTGGAAATCCATATACAACAAAATGAAACTGAATCCCTTTCTCTCGCCATGCACAAAAGTTAATTCAAAATGGATCAAGGAGCTTGATATCAAATCAGAGACATGCCGTCTGATAGAAGAAAAAGTTGGCTACGATCTACATACTGTGGGGTCGGGCTCCAAATTCCTCAATAGGACACCCATAGCACAAAAGTTAATAACTAGAATCAACAAATGGGACTTACTCAAACTAAAAAGTTTTTTCTCAGCTAAAGAAACAATAAGAGAGGTAAATAGAGAGCCTACATCCTGGGAACAAATCTTTACTCCTCACACTTCAGACAGAGCCCTGAACTTGGTTATTGACATGCCCAGGAGTCGTTTTGATATTGGCACAGCCTAAATCTACTTTGTTATTTTGGAACCACTAGTTTCTAATATGTGAAAATTTGGACACATGCATTTCACTATTTAAGAAAAGAGAGGTTGCTATGGAAATTAATTGTATAAATAATACTACAAGTGGGAAGATGTTTCCCTGCAAAGACAGTATATTTAATAATTTTTGTAGTATACATTTTCATATAAGCAAATGGGGTACTAAGTAACATAGATTTTTCCATTTATTAAAACAGAACTTCAATGACATCATTTGACGATTCTCTAATTAGTAAACATTGGGGCATGTGAGTGTAATAAAAAAAACCTTCTTTCTTTCAAAATATTCTATTAATTAAAACTTCCTAGTAATTTTCCCCCACTTAGTCTAAATTTGTGAGCTACTGTTTTTGCTTTTATTAGAAACAAAACTGAGAAATATGTTTGCTATTCATCACATGCATCTTGAGTTTCTTCAGTGCAAGGCACTAGGTTCTTTGAAGGAGAAAAAGAAATGAAGACCCTGATGTCATTTACAACCTGGTGTAAATTTAAAAGTACATACCTACCACCCAGGGTATCGTTTTCCTCTGTTCTCTCCCAGGTGGAAGCTACTTGCTCTCCCAAGTCCCACATAACTGACACTGGGCATCCTGGTTGATGTCTTCCTGCTCCTTAGTTCTGCATCCTAACCATAACTCCCCCTCTACTCAAGTGAGCTGGGGTAGAATCTTCCTCTAAGGCTCCAGTCATAGCTGCATGTCTTTCTCTTGCTCCCAGGACCTGCTGTCACCTCCGTAATTCCATCATCCACACAAAGATCCATCTGACCCCGTGGCCACATGGTGTCTGGCCCTTGTCTCTGGTGCCTTTGGCCTCTTCTGCCTTTCAGCCCGCACTATTGAGCACACCTTAGCATCCTCTTCCACAGCTGCTTGCCTCTGCTGTTTTATTTGATTTTTTAAATTTGGATTCTTTGGTATTGGGAATTGAACCCTATTCTGCCAAAACTACCTGGCAAACTCCTGCCCCAGGCCAGTCCTATCATCCATTGTCCTAGATGGGAGCTGCAAAGTGCTGAGGGAGACAGTGCCCACCTGGGTAGACTTGTCACCCCATCTGTGGCTTGGCAGCCTTTCTGCTTGTCCTTACTCTACCACTTTTCCAGTTATCCTCAGAGACAGCTCCAAACATTCCCACACTCACCGGATGTGGCGGCACACGCCTGTAATCCTCGTGGCTGGGGAGGCTGAGGCAGGAAGATCACGAATTCAAAGCCATCCCCACCAATGGCAAGACACCAAGCAACTCAGTGAGACCCTGTCTCTATGTAAAATACAAAATAGGGTTGGGGGTGTGACTCAGTGGTTGACTGCTCCTGAGTTCAATCCCCAGTATCGGGGGAGAAAAAAAAATCCCCACACTCTGCACCCTGATAGAGCTTCACTCTGAGTTCACTGAGTTAAAGGATCCATCACTCCAGCCTGGAAACACTTCTAAATTGGCTGCTGTCTTCCACTTTTTCTAACTTTAGATAACAGCTCCCTCCTATCTTCTCCTTCTAAGCACTGGTGTTATCCATAGCTCTGTGCTTGGCGTGGTGGGCTTCTTACTCTGTATGTTCTCGCTGATTATTGGTTTTCTCTCATGAACTAACACATACATAGTCAGACCTATGTGTCAGTGGGTTCGGCATCCACAGATTCACCAACCAGTGATTAAAAATGTTCAGGAAAAAACCTAGCACCACAAAGAAACAACAAAAGCAAACCAAATCCCAAATTCCACACAACTTGGGGGCTGGAAGTATAATTCAGTGGTACAGTGTGTGCTTAACATGAACAAGGCCCCAGATTTAATACTGAGGACAAAAGAAAAAGAAAAAAGAAACAAACCACATTTGCACAAAACATGCACAGACATTTTTCTTGTTATTCCCTGAACAATACAGTATGAGTTACATAGTGTTTACCTTGTATTAGGTATTATGAGCAATCCACAGGCTATTCAAAGTGCGCAGGAGGATGTACATAGGTTATTTACAAACATTACGCCATTTTTTATAAGGTACTTGAGCAACTGAGGATTTGGGCATCCTCAAGGGTCCTGGAACCAATGCCTGTGGGTACCCAGACACAACTGCCTGTTTGTACCTTTCAGACCAATGTGTTCAGGCCAACCCTTTTCCTGCAGTGTAGGCTTCTCTGTCCACATCTGCTGGCCATCTCCACATGGGTGGTACAAAAACACCCCCACCCTCACAAGCCTTCCCTTTCTTCTGTATTTACTATATCATTTGATATACGAAAAAACTCCAGTTCTCTGCCCTAGATACCTGACTTGCTCTGGCAACTGCAGTCACTTCTGCAACAAAAATAGTCTCCTGAGGGGATCCCCGCCTTCCACACTGGCCTCCCACAAAAAAAAAAAAAGAAAGAAAAAGAAATCCATCCTTCCTGTGGCCACCCTCATACAATTGGATTGCTTACATTTGAGATTGCATTCATAGCTCTTTCTCTTCCTTAAGTTATCGCCTAAGAAGTATGTTCTTTGATTTAACATTTTTTCCTAATATTTTATACATGTCTGAGTATGCTGCAGATAACTTTGTCCATTTTTCTATGGAGACTTTTTATTTGAATGTGCTCTTTATATGGTGGTAGATAATGAATATTTTCAGCCATATTTAGTGCAACTGCCTTTTGTCATTCTACTGAAATATTTATTTTTCATTCAATGGAAATTTCAATTTTTATGTAGTTGAATCTGTCAATATTTTTCTCTGTTATTTCTTTTTAAAAGAAACCTTTTAAAACATTAAACTTACCAATATTTTAAATACCAAGAAGGCAGCATGATATGACTATAGACTAGATGTTGACCTTATGGAGAGCAAGTTGAAAAGGCAAGTTGAAAAGTGCTCAGTAACTGGAGTGGGAGGCAGAAATGTCACCCATACATGCAGTCACATACTGTGCGCAGCATTCCTGAGGGCATTGTCCTGCCTTCCTTTTGTCCTACCAGATGATTCTCCCTAGTTTCTTTGGGCTTAATAGGGAAGGTCTTTACCCAGAACTAAGGTTAACTCAAAGTACAATTGGAATTTCTATCTAGATTATGTCTTAAAATTTCATTAAGACATACCGCATTATTATTTATTTTGAGTATTGATTGGGTTAGTGAGAATCACCGTGAGAACATCATCTTTTTGTGTAATTTTTCATTTTATTTTGAATCGACAGCAAAAAGTAAGGTCTTTCAGTGTGTTTGTGGGGCCAGTGGATCAGTAGGAAGTATTTCCTTTTTGTCCTATGAGATACACACACACACACAGATGGAGAAGTAGAAAGAGCAGTTTCCATGTGATTTTCTCAGTGTTTTCAGCCAGTTTCATTTTAAAGTACAATCCACCATTGGTAGCCAGAGGCAGCTGATAATCATCTTTATCATTCAGATTTGGAAAGCACACACTACACAACTGACATCCTTTAGAAGTAGACTTTTGGTGGGGGGCTCAGTGGTAGAGCACATCCTTAGCATAGGTGAGTCCCTGGGTTTAGTTCCCAGCATCTCCAAACAAGAAAGAACTAGACTTTTGTTTTCTTCTTGGGCTATATTCCTATTTCAGATCTGCATATTTTATGTGTTAAAGTATATAACAGTATATTTCATATTCTCTTTCAGTCTTCACAGAAAAGTACTGTACTGCTAACCATGTGGATAAACTTCCTGGCCCAAGAGACTGGGTACAGATTCTACAGGATCAAATTAAACTGGCCAGAAGAAGGTTAAAAAGAGGCTCAGGTATGAATAGGTTGTAAAAAGGTAATTGTGGAAGTACTTTATTGTATTGTATTTATTCTTAGCCTTTGTAAAGCACAAAATTTTTCTCTAGGTTAGTTTAGTAGGAAACTTTGTTTTTTGAAGGAAAAGCTCTACATAATGTGCTTTGGTTAGCTACCTTAAAGTCTTATTCCAGATTTGGAAACTCACCTTAAGATTATGTAGTAAAGATTATGACAGGCCATTTGTTTTGAATAGTACAAAGGAAAAAGATTGCTAATCTCATTTATGGTCCAATGTGTCTCATATAAAACTAGGTCTCTCTTTTGTGGTTTTCTTCTATTTGCCTATTTATTCTTGTTTGTTTGGGTCTGCTTGATTTATTATTTATAAAGTTGTTTAAGATTTTTTTTTATTAGCAAAAATCCTTCAATAAGAACCATCACATCAGGAAGAAGGAATGTATGTGTATTTAAAATCTGGGCTTGGGCTTGGAAATTTGGGGTTTATCCTTCCAGGAAAAGTGAACATCAGTTGCATTGTGACAATTTAGATTTGGTCATTTGAAATCCCAGGCTCCCCAAAGTGATAGTGGGCCATTATACCAATGAGAAATCCCTTGAGGTCAGTTTTTTCCTATCATACAGAAATAGTTGTCTTGGGCTGGGGACATAGCTCAATTGGTAGAGTGCTTCCCTCGCATGTACAAGGCCCTGGTTTCAATCCTCAGCACCAAAAAAAAAAGTTGTCTCTAGGAGGCCACAGATTTCAATTAAAAAAAAAAAAAATCTTCATACATTCGTACATCTATTTTGAAAAACAGTGTGGAGGGTCCTCAAAAAGATAGAAACAGTACTATCATATTATCCAGCAAACCCACTTCCAGGTATCAATGAAAGTATGTTGAGAGCTCTCTGCACTCCTGTGTTCATTGATACATTTTCCCCCATAGTCATGGAATTGATGTAAGTGTCCACCAGTAGTAGATCAATGCATTTTTTAGAAATGTGGTATATATATACAATGGAATACTGCTTACTCAACCTTAAAGAGGAGTTTCATTTGCATCAGCATGGGCAGGCCTGGAGGGTATTGCACTAAGTAAACCAGGCACAGAAAACAGATACTCGTGATCCCACTGTGGAATCTAAGAAAGTAGTACTCACTGAAGTCAAGATTAGAATGGTGGTCACCAGGAGGCTGGGGGAGACTAAGGGATGCTAGTCTAAGTATACAAAATGACAGGAGCAATAAGATCAGGGGATCTGTTATGCCGTATGGCAACTAACAGTGTTAATTGTTAATAACACACTTGAAAATTAAGGGAGTAGACTTTAAATGTTTTTACCACAAAGTATGCAAAGCGATCCTATTAATTAACTCATTAACCACTCCACAATGTATACATATTGTGAATGTGTTTCAGAAAAACAGGTACATCATAAATATTTACAAATTTTGTCAATTAAATAAGATGAAAAAAAAATCCAGATCAAACACCATGGCATCTGACTTTTGGAACCCCTGTGGCTAGAGTATGAGTCAGTTTGGGAGGTGGACTTTGAATATGAAAATGATCTCTAGCAAACACATGAGATTCTTCTCTGTCTTAGTCCATTTGTGCTCCTGCAACAAAATACTACAGGCTGAGTAATCGATTTATAATGAACAGAAATGTATTGGCACACAGTCCTGGAGGCTGGAACTCCAAAGAGTGAGGGACCACAGCTGGCAAGGGCCTTCTTCCTGCATCCTCTCATGGCCAAAGAGTGAAGAAAGGGTGAGAGAGAAGGGGAAAAAATGAGGACCAAACTCAGACTTTTATAAGGAGCTTACTTCTGCAGTAATGAACCCACTCTGAAAACAATAGCATTTATCCAGTGGTGAGGGTGGGGCCTAATCACACCCCACCCCCAGCACTATGGCATTGGGGATTAAGTCTCTAACTCATGAACTCTGGGGGACACACTCAAACCATAGCAGTCTCTCACAGATCCCTTTCTAGTGAACCCTTCCCAGTCAGCCGTGACCTTGTCACTCAGGCTCCACCAGAGCAGGGACCAGCAACTGAATCATGTTTGTGTCCCAGGTGACACATGGTATGTGAGACAGGCTGACTCTCAAGAAATATTAGTTGAATGAATCAATGAAAATGTCAGTAACTTCAGAAGACTTATTGTTTGCCTGAGTTGAAATCACTGGAAGCCTGTAGAACATTTCAAGAGTCCCTTCTTGGGGTTCAAATGTTTATCCCATTCCCTCCAGAACTCATGGGGTGGCAGTGTCCCTGAGCCCCATCCTCAGGAACAAGATTCTTCAACTCCTGGTGACACTTTGTGGTCATCCCTGAGTCCTTCTCCTTCCTCTTTATTCTTCTTTCCCAGTTTCCTCTCTTATTCTTTCCTTCCCCAAATCTCCTGCTACATTAACTCTTAAAGGTCCCCTGCATCCTCCCTGAGTTCCTTCACAAAAATACCTTCTTATTACGTTAGTCCTGCTAGGTTTCATATCCCTGGAAGGGTTGAGTTGGGAGGGAAAAGGGAAAAAATTAATAAATAAAAGAACACTTTTAGGGCTGGGGATGTGGCTCAAGCGGTAATGCGCTCACCTGGCATGCACAGGGCGCTGGGTTTGATCCTCAGCACCACATAAAAATAAAGATGTTGTGTCCACCGAAAACTAAAAAGTAAAAAAATATATATATTTAAAAAAAGAACACTTTTAGAGTTGAAGACACATAAGTTGCCCAGAAGGTTTACCCAGTGGGTAACACCAGCTTAGCACTGATGATGTCATGTTGGGTGTCTCATCTTAATTTTATGGTCCAAGTATTAAGTCTGAGTGTTGACCACACCAGTAACTACTAAGTTGGCCTGTGTGCCTGGATTCTACTTTGGATGTCTTGACTGAGTAAGAACTTCCATTTCCTATTGATTTGCAAGGTGGAAATTGTTGACCCCCCCCCCAAATACAAAATACATATGTTGTATTATATACAATATAATATTCTAGTTTAAGAGAAATCTAAATGTGTCCTAATATAGAGACCTAAGTTCAAGATCAGTAAGCCCAGAGAAAAGGCAAGGGGCCAGTGTACCAACCAAGAACCAGCCACCCAGCCACCTTTGCTTCTCCCAGACCCTAGTCCCAACTGTGCCACCAACTTTGAGCTAGCCTGAGCAGACAGAAGATCCCTGTATGAGTGGCTGTCCCCTTTCTGCTTCACAAGGGCTGCTCAGGGCAGATGCAGCAATCAGAGATACTTGAAGCTCTCTGGGAGCTTGAGGGGAAGGAGCTGTGTATAACAGGACTGTTGAGATTACTAATTGACGTGCTACAGAGACCACCCAAGAAAGGAAGGAGAGGCTTTGTGTTCCAAAACATGCGCGCCTCTCACGGAAGAGAGTGAACTAAAGGCCCTAAAGGGCTTGAAATTTTTAGAAGAAACCTTTAAAAGTAGAAGTAACAAAAAGTAGGGAGATATTGTGGAAGGCTATTCCCAGGGACTGAGAAGGGCTTTGCTGTACCACAGGATGACAGTAGGAAATTAGGTTTCAATGTCATTCTGGTGCCTTTGCCAAGTTGTATGTGTCCAACAGTGTCCAACATAATCAGACCTTTTTTCTTTTCCCCCCTTCTCGTCAGATGCTGAGACCAGTGATAAGTTCTGGTCTCTTCCCACCAGCAAACATGACTGCACGCAGTAGGGCTGCACAGTAGGGCTCCACATCGCCCTTCCTACCTCCCACAGACTGGTCAGTGAACACATTTCTTGATTATCACAGCATTTCTATTAATAATTCACATTTCCAGTGCTCGCTTTCCCCCCAGCACACACACCCACAGAGTGGGACCCAAACTGTAGCCTGCTCCCCACCCTTCCCTTCCTTCTCTCGGAAGCTTAGAAGATCACCCACTCCTGTTCTGTAGGCATCAGGATATTTGACTTAGGACACTTTAGTTTTTGAGTGCCGGGTTTAGATAATCTACCTAGATATCAATGACATGTTTAGAAACCTGTTCTATTAGTGACTGAGAAGTGGAAGGTGGCCGTAAGACAAAACCACCCCTGACATACAGACCAAACCAGACCTAAATAATAGCACATCAGCCCTGGTCTGCCAAACAGAGTCTGTCTCCCAATCTGTGAAGTGCTGCTACATATCCTTCTCAAGCAGCACAAAAGTGGGACCCCAGCAATCAAAACTAGAGCCACTTGGATTTCCTGCAGGGGACAAGGGACCTGGATCAATAATGTTACTTGCTCTCGTGTGCGCTGTCTTGATTATTTTCCATCTAAACGATAATACAAACAGTGGTCTCATAGATATTCCCCAATTTCAACCTTATTTATCATATTTGGCTCAATTCCTGGAATTAGGTGCAGACTCTGACTGGGCAAGCTAATCAACTATCCGCTTAGGGAAGTCTGCCCTGCCCCACATGGATTTGAAAGGTTGTTATGCAAATCCAAACAGAAATTCATTTGGGGCTCTCATCACATGTAATCATTTTTTTCTATAACTGGAATGATTCCTTTCCTGGTGTTGATTTTTATCATTTTCATTAGATTACTTCCTCAGAGCTGAAATCACAATTTATTATTTGTGTTAGATCCAAGAGTAAAGCTGTCATTGCTATTAAATTTTTATTGGACTTGCTCAATCTTTTCCAAATTTTACAACTTGATTGTCACCAGGGAAGAAAGAGTGTGAACTTGTTGATACAGACAGATGTTATAATTAAGTTTAGGTAACATAGTGATGTCCTTCATCCATGACACTTGGTGTCCCTGTTCATGCAGCTAGCTTATACTAATTTATATATAATAATTTACATAAACCTAGGTTGTTTATGTTCTGTTCTGACAAAAGAAAATAATTGCATAGGCCTGTTTATGGGAAGTAAGGATAGCTGAATTATAAAGGGAAGAGAATGTATACTCCAAAGTGATTTTTGTTGTAACTGAATGAAAAGCAATTATGAACCTAAACTGCAAGTTACTAAAGTACAAAATGAACTAAAATTTGAAGATTTTTTTAAAAATTAGCTCATAATGATGCATGTGTTTGTGTTTGGACTATTAATGGCAAAGAGATTAAGAGCACAGATTTAGTTCATTGTCACTTACTAGCTGTGTTACCCTGAGTAATTTCTTCACCTCCCTGTTTCCTCATGTGTTAAAATGAGCATAACAACAGAGCTACATCGTAGGAGTTCATAGGAGTTCATAGGAGACCTACATCATAGGAGCTCTTACATTGCATGTAAGAGCTCAGTAAATGGAAAGTATTTAACAAATGATGGTAGTTAGTCATCATTATTTATTGTTATTTTTAGATATATTTTTTAAATATAAATATATCTATATATATTTTTTAAAATTCTTGATAACAAGAGTTCTACCATGTAGGTAATCTACATATTCAAATTCACTCAAACCAATTAGAAGAAAATGACAGGGCTGGGGATATGGCTTAGTTGGTAGAGTGCTTGCCTTATGTGCACAAGGCCCTGGGTTCAATCTCCAGCACCACACACACACACACACACACACACACACACAAAAGAATAAAATGATCTCTTTTAAATATACAAATGGCATATATTCATTGTTTTAAATATATAAAATAATAAAAACACAAAGAACTAAACTTAAATACCTGAAGGCTTTTTAGTATGTCTTATTTTTTTTCTATGAACCTATTTACAGATTTTAATCATTTAGCCTCTTGATTAACTTGTCTGTTTTTGTTATTAAATATTCATCTATAACATCATGTTAGCAATTTCTACTCAACTCCAGCCCCTACTGGTCTTGACTATTCTTTCTCTTCTTGGGGTTTTCTGTTTGCCATGAATCTAGCAGGCTAGCAGGTCTTTTGCTAATGCCAGATATACCCATCTGAGGACAAGATGTTAGAGGATGAACTAGAGGTGGAAAATGTGGAATATTTCTATCTGTATCTAAGCCCTGATTGTGTTTAAAGCAACAACAATAAAAAGAAGAACTCAGTATTAGTTTTGCTTCCTCAAACTCAGCATTAATCATGATGCAAATGGCAACCTTCCTTTGACTGGCCTCATGGTTCACCTGCACTATAAGCAGGGAACTTCCAGTGAGGATCATTAGTTGTGGGATATAAAGGGTACCACTTAGATGATCCAGGGGCCCTAATAAAATGTAGTCCTCTGCTCTGGGAGTCCCCTTCAGTTATCAGGAGACTTATGGGCCCCTTCTCTTTGCATTTAGTGGAAGGTTTTTCATGACTAAAAGAGATACCTTTGCAAAATTCCTAAGGAGATTGAAACGTATATCAGAGCTAAATCAAGTTTGCATTTTAAATCGTTTGCAGAAATGTGTATTTCTTCATGAATGAATGGATGCCAAAGTTGGACTGGCAGCTTGAAGACATAAATTTTCCAGTATCGCCAAAGAAAGTTTCACTTTTTGCATTTCCTAAGGCTGCCCAGCAGGAGTGGCTCTGGGGATGGCAAGTTTGGTTTTATAACAGAAATTCACTGAGCCTTTTGCCTTCATTGACATGTTTAAACAGTCTACCTCAGATGCTGGTTGGCTGTTGAAACCCATGTAAATAAACAAAAATGGCTGATACAATAAGGTTCATAAGATTCTTAAAAATTTAAATATGGGAAAGTTGATTTTACGACATTATCATCATCAAAAAATTTTCATTTAAATAATGATGCTAAAATTTGTAGTGTGAACCAACTGAAGCTGAAAAAGGAAAGGATGAAAACTGTTATGTATACTAGAGTTATTTTAATTGTATTACTGTATTCAGTAAAATGAATGTGCTCCCTGAAACTAATGAGATTTGTGTTTTATGTTTGTAACCAGCAGAGGTAGCTGACGGTGATGAAAGACTGGACGGCATTTCTCTACCACCAACAGGTAAAACACATTTACATTTTCATCACCTGCTGGAAAATTCAGTGCAAGGAAATATTTGCATTGAAAATGGTATTAACATTAGAGATGTAGATGCTTGGGCAAGCTGCTTTCCGTAACAGACCCAGGCCCTGGCATTCAGAGTTTCTCAAAGCCCTGGGTTCAGAGATGTTTTTTATATTGAATATAAAAAGCATGAATAGCTACGTTTTTCTCACACTGTTTCATAGTCAGGAAAATCTCTGAAATGCAAATCTCAATAACAGTATTACAACATTTTGCCTCTCCAAATTTGTGGACATTAAAACATATTTTCACATTGTTATACCAATGCCGAGACCCTCAAATAACTCTCAGACCACACATTGCCATTCCAATGTAGCCTTTTATTGCTGGCCAGCGGCAGACACTGTCTAAAAGCAAGATGGTCAGAGTGGCGCATCCCCTTCAGTTTGACTTCATATTTAAGCCAAAAAAACACAAAAGGCATGTTTGGGGGTTTAGCCAATGCAAGCAAGCAAGTCACAGAAGCAGGAGATTGCAGTCAGGCATCGGAATGCTTAGCCAATCAGAATAAGCCCAGTTAACCCAGTTACACAAACAGAGCCCAGTTACCCCAGTTACACAGACAGAGCCCAGTTAGGTAGTTCTGTGTTCTTAAGGGTTTCCACAACAAAAGAAAAAATAACTTGGCCAGTCATGACCTTTCTAGTTGACATGGCTGTTTCCCAAAATGGAGTTACTAAACAAAATGGAGTCACTGTAGTCAAGACTTCTGTCTCATCACAACATGAAATAAGATTTCACTTTAGAATAGGGAGCACCAATTTTGTATGACCAAATCCATGTCTACTCAGGCTTCTCCCACCTCTTCCAAAAAAGGCCTTTGAGAGGTAATCCATCATTGCTCTTTATTTAATGGGCACCCAGTTTCTACTGGATTTTAATTGCATGATTGAATAAGCCAGTCCATCCAGCATTGAGTGGCACACTCCTAATACTTGAACCTGATCAGCCAAATGTAACATTGCACTGAAGCATTTGCTGCACACAGTTGCATTAAGCCATAGACATGATTCTGACTTCACATTATTTGACTCTCAAGTAAGCCTCTGATTCTGGCCACCTGCCTCTGTGTCACTTCATACCTATAAGGAGGGACACCGACATCTGTCTGATCAGTGAGCTACATGTTAAGCAATTTATTCCTGCACTTAGTCTCAGGATTCTTTATTAACTGCTCTCAAAAGAGTACCTGAAGATTCTGTCCACAAAATCTAGATACCCTCCAAAAAACATAAGACTGAAAAAGATTGACTCAATTTTTCTGTCCTCTAGATTTAAGGTGTTCTGCTTTTAATTAAATTCAGCAAATACTAACAGAATGTCTAGTGTACGTAGGAACTCTTAGAGTTCCTAGAGGTCATTGATAGCACCACCTTTAGTGGATGGCCACTAAAGCAGAGTCCATAGGTGTAGGATGGGCATATGACAGTGAGCTTCAGAACAGCAGGGAAGCCCAACTGTGTAAATGATACATTGCTTCCTCTGCATCGAGTAACTAAGCAACAGATCAATGGACAAATAAATGAAATGAACTACATAGTGTAAAAGGATCTGTGTGTATCAAGTTCTTCCCATATATAGTCATTATATAAAATGTATTTCTCATTTGGCTGTGTTTCCACATTTGTGAATTAAGAGAATTGAAATACATGATCTCTCTTGTTCCTTCCCAATCTGTCATTCCCTGAATCAGGACAACTCCTATCAGCCTTATTCCTATCAACCTGCCCAGCCCACTCCCAGTAGATGCAGGAAACACTAATCATAAAAATGAAATTGTATATTTCAGGAGGCCCTTGGGAGGAATACTATGCTTTTCTAATTGTGTCTCCCAGGGAGACTACTACCCCCCAGGTCTCCCATCTGGAGGCCTCTGTACCACTTGTCCTCTGCCGTATGACACAGTGGGTTTTTGTTTTATTCTTTAAAGACCATACCCCTTAAAATAACACTGTCACTTTTAACTGACAATGGAGGCAAAGATATTTCAGACAAGAAAATTGAGCACAAGGGATCCTAGACCAACCTCATAAAACAAAAACTTTCAAGGAATCTGAGAATGAGAAGGAACTTGAGAGATTACCCAGTCCAATCCTTTTTTTATCCAATCCTTTTATTTTACAGGGAAAAAAGCCTGAGGCCCAGAAACATTAAATGACTTCCCCAAGGTCTCAAGAGCTGGTTGATGGCCTGGCCAGAACCCAGGCCCTTCGTCTCCCAGCCATTACACCGTAGAGCTTTCTTATACCTAAGCCAAAGCCAGCTTTTCTCTGCATGTTTCTTAAAGATCCTAAAACATGATTGATGTACTAATCCATTTAGGATTCCATTTCAATGTCTCACAATCTTCACAGTTAGAATATTCATCATCGGTCTACCCAACGTTTGCTGCAGTTTAAGCTCATTTACTCAAGTCCTCTCAATTTTGCCCAAAGCTGTGAGGTTGTAATGCAGAAAATAGTAGAACACACCTGCAGGTCTTATCACTAGACTGTTAATAGAGATTGGTTACAAATTGCTAAACAGCATGATAAATAAAAATGTTCATTCTTTAGAAAAGGGGGAAAGAAGTCACAGATTGGTGCTCAAATTTTGAAGTAATAAAATCAAAGGATCTCGATAGTCTAGCATGTCCCTTGGTTGCCTTTCTAGAGTAAAATTCTCAGTCTGGTCGGCTTCTTTGAATACAGTGCTATTGCTAATACCCTCCTTCCATGTGCCATGACACGACATCTGGGCAGTGGAGTCCCTCTTCTTGCACATGTATCTTCATCCTCAGAGTGGAGCCTCACTGGTCAGAACCACAGGAGCCCCAAGGGGCTCTGATACAGACCTTCGTTTTCTTATTTCCCTGATCTGGCCACAACAGGTCTTGTTAAAGATTCAGAACAGCCTTATTACCTTTTTAAGATCTTTTTTCTCCTTCCAATTGTGTGTGTTAGGAAGAAGCAGGAAAAGGTGGAAATCCTTTAGGGTTGCTATGAACCTGAAGTGGCAGGCAGGGTCAGATGCTCAAATGACCTTTGTTTTGACCTACTGTAGTTAAGCAGCCTTTTATTTGTCTGACTTTAACAAAATCAGATACAGATTCTATAGTGGAGAAATGTGTTTTCATAATTTATTCCCTCTCCACCGGGTTCTCTAAGCCCTTTAGGGGGTGGGGTATACTGGTGATTGATCTCAGGAGTACTCAGCCACTGAGCCACATTCCCAGCCCTATTTTACTTTTTTTTTTTTTTTTAATTTAGAGACAGGGTCTCACTGAATTGCTTAGCGCCCCACTTTTGCTGAGTCTGGCTTTGAATTTGTGATCCTCCTGCCTCAGCCTCCCAAGCTGCTGGGATTACAGGTGCGCACCACCGCACCTGACTTCTGTGAGTCTTTTGAGCAACTGCTGAGAATCAGAACTGCATTGGGGTCCTGTGGACAAATTCCTGCCCTCAGACTAGTGTGAGACAGAAGCACTTACCTATATGTTGCAGCACAGATGTGGAGAGTTCTGGATAAGGAAGAAAAAGCCCCCAGAACCTGGGAACAATTGGGTTTAAAAAACAAAAAAAGTATAAAGTAGAATCAAAACAGTGCTTTCTAAAACTTAAAATGGGACTTATGAATTTGAAAAGAGATGTTGTTCATCTGAGCTTAGCAATCTGTGTCATAAACTGGCATTATTTTACATATTTTTCTCCATTAAGAAGTGCAAGGAAGAAAATTTAAATGAATGGTTCCACCCACAAACAACCATCATTAGGTGTTTTCCCCAGATTTTTCTCTATATTGATTTTGTTTATAGAAAAGAGATCAATACATAAAATCTTGTTTCCAGAGCATTTGAGATTTTACCTAAAAAGCTTTCTCTTATTTTGTTACAAATCTTTATACACATTATGAGCTGCATGATGCTCCATTTTGCAGGTAAATCACACTTCATTTAGCCCTTTTCTGTTACTGGACAATAGACACACTCTAATAGTAACACATGTTCTTGGAATTACCTGTAAAATATAATCATTACAAGTTTCTAATTCCTAAACTGCTCATTTAGCACAACTAAAGCCATGGCTAAAAACTTAACGACTTCACTCCACAACACCGACAACACCGGCACCTAAAAGTCAAGTCCCTACTTGTCAGGCCATGGTAGAATGTCCCTTAGGGAAGGGGCTCTCCCCCTTCACTGTCTTGTCTCTGTTATAGGTAATAACAGGAGAGAAAACATGGAGGATACAGAACCAGGTTTCATTGCCTAGGCTTTGATTTTAGTGACCTTGGTCATTAGCATATGTAACTTTTCAATTCTTTTGAATTTCCTCAAAGATCCATGTAGTATTTCAGGTGCCTGCAAAGTGTGGGTGTTCTGTGAAGTTTATCTGTCATGTTTGAATAATTTCATATGCTTTCTTTTTTTAAGCAAGTCTCCAATTTGGTATATGATTTTTAAAAATTGTTTTTAAGAGTTAATTTGTTACCCTTCCAAAGTCCAGCATATGATCCAGTTAGTTCATTGTCTGAATAAAGAAGCAAGCAGTTCTTCCTTTTTTATTCATTCATAACCTTAATGTGAAATGCATAGTTTTGAAGCATATTTATTTTCACATAAATTGCCTAGCTGTATTATAAAGGAGAATGGTTTTTTCCAGGCCTGAGAGAGCAGTTGTAAACGCCAAAAATAATTAGACCTTCTTCAGCTTAGAAGAAAAAGTTGTTCTGGGAGACAAGATAGCTCTGACCTATAAGATGAAATCATTCATGATATCAGTGCACCCCCCCCCAAAAAAAAAAACTATAGCAAAATTAAGTGCAAGTGATGTGTGAATTCTTTTTTTTTAATATTTATTTATTTATTTTAAATTTTCGGCGGACACAACATCTTTGTTTGTATGTGGTGCTGAGGATCGAACCCGGGCCGCACGCATGCCAGGCAATCGCGCTACCGCTTGAGCCACATCCCCAGCCCGATGTGCGAAGTCTTAGGAAAGAAACCCCTTTAACGTAAATTGTGTCAACACAGAGACAAAATAACTAATTAAAAGGTGAAAAACTCAAAGTAGCCAGTTCTACTTGATACATAACAACCATTTAAACAGAAAGCTTTAACTGAATGACCCAGGATTTCAACTGTGTGGTAACTAATCACAAGTGTACATGCTTAATATTCTGGTACACTTCCTGGTCCACTTGCCCTCTGCTTTATATAAAACCAATATAAGAAACTTTGAATTTATTTGAAAGAGATTTTTTGCCATGTAGGTATCTGTTTTACAGAAATATTTGCCTCCGGATTTCTTTCTTGCTTTGAATCTTTGGCACTTGATCCAAAGGCCAGATATTGGCATGAAAGAAAGCATATTTATTTCATCCACCAGATCCTGGGATTAAAACTGCCATGTGAGGGGCTGGTGTTGTGGCTCAGTGGTAGAGTGCTTGCCTGGCATGTGGAAGACACTGGGTTTAATCCTCAGCACACATTAAAAAATAAATAAATAAAGGTATTGTGTCCATCTACAACTAAGTGTGTGTGTATATATACACACATACATATATATATTTTTTAAAAGTTGCCATGTGACAGTTGGACACCTTTCCCTGGCACACACTTCATCCACCTGTTGGAGCTAACAGGTCCTGTAGAGGACAGTTAGTCCCACCCTTAGCTTTGCAGGTGAGGAAACTGAAGAGTGAGGGTGAATGATTGCCCAGATCCAGGGAACCCTTCAATGGCTGGTGGGGCACAGAACCCGGTTTCCTTACTACCCTGTCCAAGGTCCTGGTCGTACCAACCTGAAAAACTAAGCCTTGGAGATAGGAGGGACACTCTAGGATGTCAGTATTCCACCAAGATCAGCTGAAGATGATGCACACATCCCTGTGACAGAAAACTGGTTTTAGGTGAGGCTTGTGGAATCTGTCTACTAGACAGTTAATCTCATATGTGTGTCTTTTTTTTTTTTTTGAAGCTAAAAGTAAGGGTCAGAGAAATTGTTTCCATTGTATTTTTTAGTTAGCCTTTTCCACTCCAATCAGTAATCCCTTTCATGAAACCAGTCCCTTTGTTTTATCAAGTGGTCTGATAAACTACTGTGGATAAACCAGGGCTTTTGTTTTTCTGCAACATATGCTTAAAAATTTGTCTTCTGCCTCCCAGAATGAAATATTTCTCAAGGGAATAGAAAAGATTAATTAGTGACCTTTCACTCTATTAAACTATGATGAATATGTCTCTAATAAAGGTAGAAACATTTACTCACAACTGTGGATCTGTTAAATATGCACCATGAACCTTCAGAAGCACTTCCTTCCAAGCCTGGGTGACAGCTTGGAATTTTCAGTACTTGGGGAGGGAGAGGGAATATTCAATTCACAGATATGTGCAGTGCATTCACAAATTGGAAATACAGCTTGGGAGGCTGCTGTATCAAAACTGTAACCACAATATCATATTTTATAAATTAAAATTGTTTTGTGTTAACTTACTGTGACTACTGTTCAGACTTTGTTCAGAAATCCTTTTTATAGGCTTTCTTAGCAAAAAAAAAAAATTCCGTATCTATGGATAATGTCTCAATCTTCTGTATATATGTTTTATTAATATGTAAATATTCTGATTTTTTAAAATTACTATGTTCTTTAAGAAAGAATTCAATGCAAGGCTAGTTGTGAAAATGGTGTATAACATTGTGTTGTGATATCAGCTCCCAAGATGCTCTTTATGTCTGTTCTGGAAGAATACAATAAATTACTTTAATTGAATGTACTTGTGTCTTGCTATGTGCCAGTCTTTCTGTGTTTGTGAAGTCAATGTTATTCATTAATTAAATGATATTCATTAAGACTCTACTGATCTTCCACCGAAATTATATCTCCTTATGAAGTTAATTTTTAAAAAAATAAAACAAATTAGATTGCTACCGAAATGAGAGTCTTCAGACGCTGCATTCAAGATTCTGTCTGGCCGTCAGATCAATGGCTATAGCAAGTCCCACAGAAACACTTGGACATTAAGTACTGAGGTGCTTGAAGCCTAATTTTAAATGAATTAGGTAGCTTTATAATCTTCACTTAAAAGGTTAAGCCCTGCTTCTATGGAAACAACACATCAGAAGGACAAATCAATCTTCTCCAATGCAAAGTGGCTACGAAAATGTAATTGCTTTATTCTTCCTCTTTGAACACAGGAGGGCGCTACCTGCCTCTTGGCTCCACTGGGGCTTTAGGAGGGTCTGTTTATGGGCCCCTGGTCTAGTCAGCAGCTGTGAGGAACAGTAGGCAGGCGGCAGTGGGGAGTAGCAGCTAGCCTGGTGGAGAGGGGACAGCAAGACAAATTGCTTGCAAAAAAGAAAATATATAGTATAACCATCCTGAATCTTTCATGCATCCTCACCAGCCTTCCCCTTCTGCCATGTGCTGCCAGCTTTAGGGGGCCTCTTGTGTCTGTGAAATTGCTTATGAGGGGTCCACATCATGTTTTATGGCCCAAGTGCCCTCAGATGAAATGCCCTTGCTGCCATATGCTGGCAAGGTTCGGTGCTATGGATGTGGCCTGGTGGAAGGGCCCTAATGGCCTTTCTAATCCAATAGGGGTGAGAAGACCCAGTTTTGCCACAAAAGGCTCCACTGGAAGGAAGTTCAATACTACCTCAGTTGTCCTCCTCCAGGCCTGGCCTTATCAAGGGTTTACAGGAGGCAACAAGCTCCTTTACCAGCTGTTCTGAGTTTAACTCCACAATCCACTGCATACCAACCATCCTAAACCCGGGATGTTTAGGATGACTTGGTTGGGATGCAAGGAAAAGAGGGGCCAAAGCTGAGGCTGGGGAAGCACCTGGCACCAAACCACCTCAGGTCTTGTACCATCCCAAGAGGTTCGGACCCATGGGCACCCCTGAAGCATTTGAAGTAAAGAGGCCTTTCCAGCTTGTATCTTATGTTGATCTGTCTGGCTGAAGTGTGGAACATCCAGCTGTCAGAATGGCTGGGGATAGGTGAAGAGAACACAGGACAAAAAACCCTGTGAGACGAGAATCGGCAAGACTCGGGAACTAGCTTGGGCTAGAGAAGAGAGAAGTGTCAAGGGGACACCCAGGTTTCTGGCAGGGTAGTCGGGAGGGGTCTCATTGCACTCACTAAGGTAAGAAAACGGGAGGAGCCATTTGGAGTACGACAGGTGAGCTCAGCCGTAAATGTCACTGCATTCATGTATTCCAGGAGTATTCACAACACACCTGGTTCTCAGGGGCTGGGAGCATAGCAGTGAGCAAAAAATGTGCCTGCTCTTTTGGAACTCACTCGGAACATGTGTCACAGACAGCAGACAGATGGCAGGACCCTGAGGGAAACACCAGCACACAAGTCCTATTTGTGTTCCTGAACAGCTTTACCGGGGAGGAGGGAATTTAAACTTAGAAGCTTTGTTCCAAACTAGAAGCAATTAAGACGTGATACACCACTCATTCCTCATGACTCAGCTCTCAACTAATCTTCACCATCAAAGAGGTTTCTGACTACATGCTCACAAGTAGCCACAGGCTCCATCAAATTATACCGTTTTTTCTTCCTTTAGGTCACTTACCACTCTGGAATTATTTTGCATATTTATGCATTTGATTGTAATCCATTTTCCACAGGAATCTGAGCCTTATGATGTCAGGGATTTTATCTAGGACATTAAGATTTCAGGACCTAAAATGCCAGACATTTTAGGACACTTGCTTGGCAAAAGTGGACTCGCTAAAAATTCTACCTGAAATTTGTAATTAATATGCAGACTATTCCTCCTGACCAAAGCCAATTATGGTCTCCCAGTATTAGAAGTCAATTACAGAAAGTAACTCACCTTCTCTCAGTCCAATGCTGAGCCTTCATCAGAAAGTTGAGAAGAATGGAGCCAATGAGAATGTGAAGTAAAGGAAAGACTGGGACAGTCAGACCAGTGAAGGGACCATGGGGCACATCAGGAGCCTGATACAAACCCCTCCTTCCAGATCCGATAGTTTATATCACATGGACCTCCTTTTCCCCTATATCACCCACCCATTGTTATTATAAATAGTGGATGAATTTGGGACATTAGATGGGTCAAAGAGATGCTGGCTGTGTTCCTTGAAGATTTCATAGCTCCAAGGATTCAGGCCAACCTTTAGAATGTACACAGACCAACTCCTTTTGTATTTTGTAATTTTGAATGCATGAAATTGATATCCCCCCAAATAACATTTTCTCATATATATTATATACCTATGTGAGTATATAGTTGTGTTTTTTTTCCCACTTTGTTATCAGTGAAATTAAAAGAATGTTAAAGGAACTGTAATTTAAAAAAAAAAAAAGCCAAAGAATAATCTAAAAATGGAGCTCAGAGAGACTCTGGTATGCTTTATGGATACTGATAATCCAAATAAAGTTTCTATGTAAAGGCCTTTTTAATTGTTTGGGGTTTTTTTGGTTTGTTTGTTTTTGTTTTTGCCATTTTGACCTGTTCCCTGAGAAACTGGAGGACAACCTAAACTTTGAAACAAATCCACTTTTGATCATTCCTTTTAAATACTTTCCAAAAATTGCAGCTGATGCCAGTGTGTTAAATGTAGAAGCTGGTCAGGAACCAGGTCTCTTTACTTCAGTTGTGTGCACCCTCCAGCTTGAGGCTGTGACAGATCCAAAAGGTGGAGGGCCCTTGATGTGAATGTGGAGTGAAAATCAATTTTATAAGGGAAATGGAGCATCCTAAATTGTTTCAATGAAATGGTGGACCAATTGCATATTGTTAGAAAGTAGTAGAAAAACTACTTTCTTCTATTTCCTAGCAATGGAGGGTGAAAGAATGCATTTTAATAGAGAGCTCTTACTCTGTATGTTACAAAATTAAATGTCCTCCAAACGTGATATGTTTCTAACCACTGGACAGGGACAATCAGGAGCGACTCAATTAAAAACACCATGCTCACCCCATCCCCCTTTGGTGGTGAACATTATAATGTTACATCATCCTTATGAGAAATATTTCACCTTGTGAAGCAATACCACCTTTTTCTACTCCTGCCCCTCACCAGTGCTCCCTGAACATGGAGCAGTAGCTCAGACGGCTTTGGCTCTCATTAAGATTTTTGTGTTTGTTTTCATGATCTATGTCATGTACTGCTCAAGTGTGTTTTCCTGCCTGTCCCATTAATGTCAGTGTTCCCAGGAAACTAACCACAGCTGGTCATTCCTATGTATTCCCCAGTGGGATTGGCTTACTAGTCATGAAGTGTGAACATATTTTAAATGTGACCAGAAACCTATATTAACCATGATCATGTCATTATGGTTGTCCCTTATGATAGCATTATAGCTTTAGAAAATGAACAAACTCAAAAACTGTAAGGGGGATGGGAAGGAAGAGGTGGTACAGTTAAAGACTGAACATAGGAGAAAAGCCAAAATATGCTTTTAAAAAGTGTGAGCATAACTTACTACCCCCAATTAAACATATAAAACTATAGAAACAGAATCTCTGCTTACCATACAAGAATAGACAGGCATAAGGGAAAACCTAATCTATATAAACATATAGTAAAGGGGTATAATAATTAGCATAACTTATGTTAAGCTGCTATAACAAAGGAGCCCAAAAATAAAGTGGCTTGAATGAAACACACTTTGTTTACTCCAACTCCAGAGCTGGATGGTGGGTGATAGTCAATTTTTCCATGAGGCCACCCAGAAACCAGTTCAATATGTATGGTTGTTCTACCACCCACTAGCAGATAGCTGTGTGCACATAGTCAAAGCTGGCTTCCAAAAGTTTGTATTGAAGCCTATGGGAAAAGGAAGAGGTTAGTGGAGGACTTACAGATTTCACTTCTACTTACATCCCATTAGCCAAAAGTTGGCCAAATAACTATATATAGAACAAAGGAGGCTAGGAAACAGTCTCTAACTGGGTGACTGTGTGCCTAGCTAAAACTTTGGTTCGATTTCTACAAGGAGGAGGGAAAGAATAGATACTGGGAACAACTAACTTTTGATACCACAGATGCCATTTTAATTGGTGGGAAGAGGATGAATTATTTAATAGTGTTGAGGATAACTGCTACTCATTTGTAAAAGTACATATACAAAATAAACATATATACATAAATGTTCATTTTGTATCTACAAAAATGAACCCAAATGGACCATAGAAGAACTAAAACTATAAAATTTTTAGGAGAAAATACAGAAGTAAATCTTCATGCTCTTGGGTCAAGTAGCAGTTTCTTAGCTATTACATAAAAAATGCAAGTGACAAAGGAAGATAGATAAAATGGAAATAATAGGAATGAAAAATTCTTGTGCCTCAAAGCATCCCAAGAATGTGAAAGACAACTCACTGGGTAGAGGAACATATTTGTAAATCATAATCTGACAAAGATCTTGCATGCAGAATATATAAAGAACTTTTACAACTCAAAAATAAAAAGAGAAATAACCTAACTTAAAAATAAGTTAAAAAAAAAAAAGGACATACTTTTTTCAAAAAAAGATATTCAAATGGGCACTAGGTCAATAAGCACATGAAATGATAATCAACATCATTAGTCATCAGAAAAATGCAAATCAAAAATACAATGAGATACCACCTCTCGAACACGAAGATGGCTTATCATCAAAAAACAGACAGTACAGCTTTGAAAACACTGTGGTAAAAATGGAACCCTCCTCATACACTGCTGGTGAGAATGTAAGAGGGTACAGTCTTCTTGGACATCAGTTTGGCAGTTTCTCAAAACATTAAAC